AAAAAAAAAAAAAAAAAAAAAAAAAAAAAAAAAAAACACCCGCCAGCGATCTGGGGCCAGGAGCAGTGACTGTCCACAGATGGCCACCAGATGGAGCCCTTGCTGCATGCGGAAACCCTCAGGCTTTCCAACAGGCCCCAGCCCCTGCTGCTGTCACAGAGATGGGAGACAGGAACCACTTCCTAGTCTGAGAACTGCTGTACCTCGGTTGTGTTTGACCCTCAGTAAATAGTGGCCTTTCTTACGTATTTGTGTCTGTATCGCCAGTGTCCAGCAGGAGGCTTGGTATGTAGGCTGGCTGAGCTGGGATCTGTGGGCAGTGTGGAGTGCTGGCTCCCCAGATATCACCAAAACAGCTTGTTGGAGGGACAAAGCTGAGTGTGTTCCTTCTGGGGGGAGGGAGAGCACTGCTTCAGCAGAGCCTTAATGGCATCTCAGGGGGTGGGGGGTAACCTAGGGATATGTGTGGAGATTTTGGAGTCTGGTTTAAGGCAGGCCTTTCAATGTGAGGGTGTGGCTAGGATTTGGTAAAGATCATGATATAATAGTTGAGGATGAGTGAACACAGCAAGGTGTGGATTTTGAGGTGAGAGGTTCAAAGAGTCAGGGAGTGTAAACTGTCACTTGATGCTTTCTATTGAAGGGTTGGTGGGTCATTCAAGAATGAAAAACAAGGTTATTTGTATTTATGTGCAAAGTGTTCAGGAGTAGTAAAGTTCCATCAATGCAGACAGTGGAGTCATGAAGTCACATTAAGGTAGACAGTCGTGTGATGTCAGGTCCTTTTCTCAGCAGTCCAGCATTTCTCTCTCCTGTTCAGACCTCTTGCCCTTACCCCAGCCAGTGTTGCCTTGGAAGGGCTAAGGGTCCATGGACAGGAGAGTGGGCCTTGGTGTTTCTTGGGAGTGGGGCAGGTGGGCAGATCTGGGCTGGGTGGGATGAGCTCCCCCTTCACAGCAGAGGCAGATGTTCTAAGTGCACCTTGGTGTTCAGACAGTTGCAGCCAGGAACCACTTCCTGAGAGGAGGAGAGGAGATCCCTGTTCTGGGTCTGGAAGTTTGTCATGGGAGCCAGCACAGGTAGTGGAGAGCCTTGGCTCAGGAGACAGGATGCCTGGGCTTCAGACCTAACCTTGTCATTCTGCTTGGGTGGTGTTGGGTAAGTCCCAGCCCCACTCTGGGCCTTAGTCTCCCTATCTAGATCTCAAGCTTCAGTTTTCTTGTATGACCAGTGGGAATCCTCATCCTTGCTCCACCCACCTCTGAATTGTTGTGAAGGTTTTTTGTGAGAGGCTCAGAAGCAGAAGGGGCTGGCCTCGTTGGTGATCAGTTTTCAGGGGAAACGGTGCCAGAGGGATCCAGGCTGCAGCCTCACAGCTGTGTCTGGGCCTGAGTGGCTTTTCTATCTCTAGGAGCTCTGCGTAAGGCTGTCCTCTCCTAACTTGACCCTGACCCCTGTGTTTTGCCCCCAGGTCTACAGAAGCTCTCTGCCTCTGCGTGTGGGGTACTATGAGACTGACAACTATACCATGCCCACTCCAGCCATGAAGCGGGCCCTGCTGGAGACCAAGAAGAGCCTTGAGGCTGCTGGCCACACGGTATGGCTGCAGTTACCCGGGATTCCTGGCATCTCCTCTCCTCCTGGGAAGCCTTCCTGGTACCCATGGTGATTCCCTTCCTGGTAGCTTGGCACCCTGATTGTTTTGTGTTTGGAGATGAGAACTGTGGCCCTGTGGGACGAATATATAGAGGGCCGGCCAGGAGTATTGGAGCCGGAGAATTCAGTCCTGTGCCAGGCAACGTGTGAGCTGCATTTGGGGGGCGTAGCCAACCAGGAACAATGGTGCACAGGTGTCTAGAGGTTCCTGGGGCCCTGGGATGGTGGTCATGTGGGTTTTGGTCTGCTTATATGAGACAACTTTATGTGTGGCTCCACAGGGAGTTTGCAGACAGTTGCAGCCAGGAACCACTGCCTTTGTGGCTCTAGTAAGAGTTACTACACGGGCAGAGTTGGTCCACCCTCAGGGCAGCACAGGGGTCATGGGAGCCAGGGACTGTTAGGTCTGGTGGCCTCACACCCCTCAATCCCTGCAGCTGGTTCCTTTCTTGCCAAGCAACATTCCCTATGCTCTGGAGACCCTGTCAACAGGTGGGCTGTTCAGTGACGGTGGCCACAGCTTCCTACAGAACTTGTGAGTGATGTTGGGCTTCAGGGTCTGTGGTGGGATTAGAAAAATGGGCAGACCCAGGGAGGGCAGCTGGGCACTGTTACCCCCAGGATGGGCTTCAGCTGAATACAGTGAAGGTCTGAACATTCTGGGCAGGGACCTCGCCCTCTGACTGTACAAGTTGAGCCTGCAGATACCTTGCCAGGGAGACTTTGGAAATGTGCCAGTCCAGGGGAGGCTGGATTAGGCATCCATGCCTGGCCCTGAGCTGAGCTTGTGAGGTAGGAGGTGGGCAGAGGAGTTGCCTATCTGGGAAAGATTAGAGACAAGGGCAGGATCAAGGCAGGAGGGTAGGGGTCTGGACATCATGTTGTAACTCCAGGCTCTGTCTGACTTAAGCCAAGTCTTCCTTTTGAGTGGGACCTCAGTTTTCTCTTCTGTAAAGTGGGTGAGTTAGACCAGACTCACTTTAAAGGACTTTGCAGAGCTCATGGTATAAGAAGCTTGTTCCTCTTGACTGTTTTCAGTCCTTGGCAGGGGCAGAGGACAAGCCCTGAAGGTGCCTCCTGGAGACGTGCCTGGGCTGCCTGGACTGGTGTCCCCCATACCTTAAACTCACTTCCTCTGCCTCACCTTCCTATGGGGAAGCTCGGCCCCTGCTCAGTCAAGGGCCCAGTCTGTCATGCTCCTCCCCCTCTCCCAGCAGCCGAGTATGGTCTGGGCTTCAGCAGAAAGGGCTACCTCTCATTCTGGCCCTGGGAATGAGGCCCCAGGGTCAGCTGCCTGAGACCTTTCCCTGAGATCTTGAGCCAGAGACAGCTTCAGAGACTTGCTTGATGGCAGCTCACCCTGGACCACCCCGCTCGTGCCTCCAGGCTGGCATCAGTGTCAGTAGGGAGAGGTTGCTCTCAATCCTTATTGCTCTGAGCTGGATTTGCCAGAGAGGGAGGCACTGAGTCCTGCCTTGGGGAATTCCAGTGGTGTGGGGTGAAGCCCAGACATCCTGAAGGATCGGCAGAAACAAACGTCATGTTTGAGAGAAGGCAGATGAAGAGATTGGAGAGCAGTAGTTACAGGAGTTTCGTGAGGAGGGAGGTAGACAGGGTCACTGTGTAAAGAACGGGGGTGGCTGTGGGCCTGGATAATCAGGAGGGGTGCCAGCATGGGGGTGCCTGGATGGGCCTTTTGTCTCCCAGCAAAGATGATTTCGTAGATCCCTGCTTGGGGGACCTGATCTTAATTCTGAAGCTGCCTAGTTGGCTTAAAGGACTGCTGGCCTTCCTACTGAAGCCCCTGGTGAGGACACAAGGAGTGGAGGGACTGGGGTGGGTTGGGAGGGAGCCTCCAGGGGCCTCCTACCCCATGGTGCCCTATGGCCTCTGGCTCTTTCCTGCCTCTCCTTCTCTCCAGCCCCCACCCAGACTGCTCTCCTTCCCCTGTCCCCTGCCATTTTCCTTCAACCTGCATGCCAAAAGGGGTGCCGGCATGGAGGGATGAGGCATGGGTGGCTTGACCTGAAGATGAGTGCCAGCCCTTGGCCCAAAGCTGATTCATTGACCCCGTGTCTGTCTTCATGCAGCTCCCAAGGCTGGCATCCTTTCTCAGCAACCTGAAGTCTCGGTGAGAATATTTTCTGTGCCCAGATGCCTGCCTCTGTCTTTCCCCAACCTGGGTCTGGGTTCAGGTGATTTCTGATGAGAAAAGACTCAGAAGTAGCTTCTGAGGCTATAGTCGGCCCAGGCAGGAGGGCAAGCTCTGTGACCTTCAGGTGGGACTTTGAAATTGCCTTAGCAGTGTCCAGGTGTGGCTGGAGAGCAAGGGCCTGAGGGTTAACAGATGAGAGAGGATGGTGGGGAGGAGGTTAGCCTGGCTGGGGCAAGGGTGGAAAGGACCAGGAAGGAGCTGGCCTGGGCTGGGGGCGTAGGGATGCTGGACACAGGAAACCTGGGAGAGATGCTGCTCTTAGAGATTGAAACTGAGCTGTACCTGATCCTACCTGCCCCTTGGTGGCTCAGGCTGGAAAGGCAGGGCATATCCCACTCCATTTCAGGCCCTGACATCCTGTAGACTCACTCCTCCTCTCACCACCAGACATTCAGGACTTTGACAGCTCTCACCTTTCCTGTGTCCTAAGGATAGCAAGGAATCAGTCCTGGTCTAGTCCTGGCTCTACTGTGGAGTCACTAAGTAACCCAGCCTAAGTCCCTTTTGGGGCCTGATTTTCTCATCTGGACAGTAGGGGTGTGAACTCTGCCCTCTCAGAGCTCCCATAGGGCTGAGAGGCCCATGGAGGAGTGAGATCTAGAAGTGTTAGGAGTAGGGGTCTGATGTTGCTAATCTCCATGGCTGTGACCATCATGGCTGGTGACCTCACTCCCTCTGTCCAGGTCGGCTGGAAAACTGTGGGAACTGCAGCATGAAATCGAGGTGAGGCCAGAGCCCCTAGACTAAAGTAGGGTGGGGACCTGGGGGGGAGTATAGTTGGCAAGGCACAAGCCAGCAGGGTCTCTTAGCCACTGCTCCCACTGGTCTCCTGGAGTCACCTGTCATTCTCTCTTCCACTCCCTGGCCTACTGCTTGGGTCCTGCTCTCTGACCCTCATTTGACCAGATGCACATCCTTGAGGACTGGGTCAGCCTGGGACTCCTGTCCTGGATGCTTCTTTGCCTGTGACCATGCAGTGTGTGACTTTGCCTTGGCAGGGATAGTCGTGTCTATGGTCAATGTGGGAGGTGAAGCCCCCTGAGAAGCAGCCACTGCCTGCCTGCCTGGAGTACTTCCATCCTACTGGGGTTCAGTTCAGATCCAATGGCAGGTGCTGGGGCTAGAGCCAACCCAGCTATAGTCTGCACTGGAGAGTCTTGGGTGGGCTGGGTCTGAGTCGTCCCCTGCTGTGTTGGTGTCCTCCCCAGGTGTACCGCAACACCATGATTGCTCAGTGGAGAACACTGAACCTGGATGTAGTGCTGGCCCCCATGCTGGGCCCTGCTTTGGACTTGAATGCCGCAGGCAAGGCCACAGGTAAGGCTTTCTGATACTCGCCGCCTGTCCCTTCTCTTATATGCATTCAGCTGTGTGCTCGGCAGTGCTGCTGGGAAGTACTGCCTTCAGGGGGCTCACAGTCTGCTTCTCTGGAGAGATGGGAGGCTCGTGGGATGCCCTGGGAGGGAATGAGCTCACTGTCATCAGCACTGTTCAAGTTAGGGATCTTGAGTTACAGGGTCTGTAGTTTTGGGAGGTGGTGTTTGAAGTCCAGATGGGATTTAAATAAGCCAAGAAAAGAGGAACAACATTCTAGGTGGGGGAAACTACATGAGCAAAAACACCAGCGGATGTCCAGCCCTGCCCTGAAATCTGGATTCCTGGGGTTTGTCACTCAAACCTCAGCCCTGGGAGAGCCTTTCCCTGGCTGGGGAAGCAGGGTGCCATTTCACGGAGTAGGAGACTGAGGCCCAGAGATGACAGTCGGCACTGAAGTCCCAGGGCCCCACCTGTGATGTGTTCCAGGGGCTATCAGCTACACTGTGCTCTACAACTGCCTGGACTTCCCTGCGGGGGTGGTGCCTGTCACCACAGTGACCGTGGAGGACGAGGCCCAGATGGAACATTACCGGGGCTGCTTTGGGGATATCTGGGACAAGGTGCTGAGGAAGGTGAGGACTGGCCCGGGGTCCCCTCCTCTGAGCTCACCCCTGCCCCAGCTCTAGCTTCTGTGGAGCAAACAGTGTCAGCGCTGGCAGTGCTCACCATCCTTTCTTAAAGCGAGACCCGAAAGACCTGCTTTGCTGCCTCTCCTCTTCAGCTGAGGAGCTTCCTGGCCCTGGGGTGGAGTCCCGCCTTGCTACCTCCCATCCTGATGCCTGTGTCCCCTGCAGGCCACGAAGAACAGTGTGGGCCTGCCTGTGGCTGTTCAGTGCGTGGCTCTGCCCTGGCAGGAGGAGTTGTGTCTGCGCTTCATGCGGGAGGTGGAGCAGCTGATGACCCCTGAGAAGCATCCGTCTTGACGGCCCAGTCGGGCCGGCTCTGGAGGACCTGAGACCCCCGTGCTCTGTGGCCCAGCCTAGTCAGGGCACAACTGTCACCCTGCGAGATGTTCAGCATGGGGCAGAGGCTTCCATGTGCTCTCCCTCAAATGCTGCAAGAAGTGCAGACCCCCGAGTCTGGACCCTGCTTTCCCTCTGGTCCCCTCTGCCCTGATCTCCCAACCCCCATGTGGCAGCCAATGGGTATGACATGGGCCAAAGCCCACTAACAGTCAAGAAACAGTTCCTCGTCTGTGTTCTTTCTGGGCACCATCGTTAGGGTGCAGGGGGCTGGAACCTGTTGAGAACAGAGCTGGCTTGACCATCCAGAGCCAGGTGCCAGCCATGTTAGTCTTCCTGCTCCAAAACCTCCCCTGGTGTCCACCACCCACAGGATGGACACAGGCTTGTGTCCTCCAGCACTTCACCCCTGCCCCTCACTTAGACTAAGCCCCCCTTTGTTGGACACTACCGTTTGTCTCCTTCCTTCCTTTGCTCCTGATGTCTGCCAAGAATGTCCTTTCTGCTCATCCACCATTCAGTCCTTTGAGGCCCAGCTCTGATCTCTCTTTCTCCAGGTAGCTTTCCCTCCTCCTCCTCAGTCCTGGAATGTGTGGGCTGTTTCCTCCTAGTCTGCCCTGTGTGGTGGGCATCTGTGGGTGGGTATATCCCGTAGCACACTGATTCTCCTCAGTGGCAGGGACCCCATTGCTACAGCTTTGTCCTCTGTGGCCAGCACAGGGATGGGCACAGTGTAGCTGGGAGTCTGAAGTGCTGGCCCAGAGCTGGTGCTGTTGGGCAGAGGAACGCCCAGGTCTGGGGAGGCAATCTGGTAGAGTGCTTGCAGGGCCGGCCAAGGCCTGGATTGCTCTGGGAAGGCTTCCTGAAGGAGCTAGGCCTTGTATTGAGTCTAGAATCTCCCAGAGGCTGAGATAGGGGATGAGGACATCCCAGGGAGAAGGGCAGTATGCCTAAAGGCCCAAGGTGAGCTTGGTAAATGGCAAGCATGTTGAATAGGCATGGGGGAAGCAGAGATGGAGGTGAGGCCAGGTCAAGATGGACCTGGGCAGCCAGGTCAGGAACTTGAATTCTGTCTCAAGGGCGGTGGGGAGCTCTTGAAGGCTCATACAGGCTCAGCAAGGAGTGGACTGGAGGAGGATAAGGAGACAGCTCCATTTTCCCTAATCTGAGGAAAGTGGCCTGCAGCCTGAGCCGTGGCCCGCAGGTAGAGAGGGGCCATCTGGGAATTGACAGCTGGGACGGAGATGAGCTGTCGGCTCAGCCTCACCCCTGCCCAGTCGGCCAACTCATCTCTTACTGGACTGTGTCAACTGGCAGGTGGAAGGGTGCCTAGTCTGTGACAGACTCTAGCAGTTTCTTGACCTAGGAGAGTTCCCTCACTCTTCTCTGACCCAGCCCTAGCTCTCCTGCTGGCTGTAGAAGATGTTCCAGAGCCTGAGCCCTCTAGGCAGGGCAGGTCCTCGGCTACCACGTGGCCTATTTCAAATTCTTTTCTGGGCAAGGTGCTTTCCCAAGCCGTCCTTCTCCACCCTGATTTTCCTACTCCTTAGCTCTCCACCTCAAGGCCGACCACTTATCCAAGGCGAGGGTGATCATGCTTCCCCTCGAGGTAGCCGCACCCACTATGCTCACACGCTTTAGCAATGCTGTCCCTGCCTCAGTGGGGCCAGTATCAGGGCACATGTGCAGCCCCAACCCTCATGGGGACACCCAAATTGGGACAACCAAGTAAATGCTGCACTTCGCCCTGGTTCCTCATAACTGCTGCTGTAATTTTGCCTCTTATTGCTCCATAAAATTACCTGCCATCTGCCCCAGATTTCTCCCTCTCCTGCCCCATTTCTCTCTTGGCAACTGATAGAGGCTGTGGAGTGGAGGCACCGCTCCTGCGTTCCTTCACCGGCTCATTCATTGAGCCCTTGCAGCCTCAGCATGGTCATATCCAGCCTGCTGCTGAGCGGTGCTGGAGACCGACCTGAACCAAGCTTGGCTCCCATCCTTGACGGGCTCCTGGGCTGTGGGGGAGGTGGACAGTGACACAAATACATCTGCTCCCCTGGCACTTGGGGCTAGGGAAAAGGATACACAAGGGGGCTGAATGCTGCTGATGGGAGGGGGAACGGTCACGAGGCAAGTAAGTGTCTACTGCATTTCATGTCCCTCACTACACTCTAGTCTAAGCCACCTGTTTCCCTCCTGACCTCCAGTCTACTGGCTTGAAGCCCTTCAAAGTCATGTGACCATTGCTTGTTTTCATGGCCTTTTCCCTTCTCACCGGGTTCACTGCTTCAGCTTCTTACCTGGCCTCCCCTGCCTCCAGACTGATCGTCAATGATTCTTCATATGGCATTTAGGTGACCTTTCTACATGCAGATCTGATCATACTTAGTTTTTAGTATCACTTGTGCCACGTCCAGACCTCTTGCTCTGACCCACAAGCCATGCTTGACCTGACCCTGCTGCTGCCCACTTTGGTCTTATCTCCCCTTCCCGAGTGCCGGCATCTGGCCACGTGGCTGCAGGCTGTGCTCTGAACCCTGTGTGCACCTCCCACCTCCATGCCCTTTGCTGACTGTGCTTGCTGTGCCTGGAATGCCTTCCACAGCTCTCTACCTCAAGGCTGCCCACTCGTCCAAGGCTGGGGTAATCGTGCTTCTCTTACAACCCTGTCATGCTATGTTGAAAGAGTTCTTTGTTCTGTATGCACTTGGACGCAGGCACTGTGTCTTAATAATAGAATCCAACATCTGTTAGGCTGTGGAGTTGATAACCATGATGTCATTTGGAAAATGGGCATTATTATTTTCATTTTGTACATAGGGGTACTGAAGTTCAGAGAGGGTGGCTAATTGGTCCAAGGCCAATCAATAAGGGGTTAGAGAAGACTTGAAACCCTCATGCCTGACTCCAAACTTAGTGTACTTTCCTCATTTGTACAATCATCTCAAGAACACTCATTAAACATCCTCTGGGCACCAGCCTCTGTGCTAGGTCACCACAAACACTTTGAAGACAAGCAGCATCCAGGTACTTGTGCTCCTCTGCTGTCCATTTACAGGAGGTGTCATGTCCCTGTTCACCTTCCCTTTCCTGTCCCGGGGGTTATATTAGAGTTTAGGACACAGCCAGAGGACCTGCCATTTGTTCCTGTTAGACACCATCTTTTAGGGTCATCTCAAGGGCTCCAGCTTATTGAGAGTCTTTTGGATCCTATCTCTGTGGCCCACTTTCTGCTCTTCCTCCCAGCTTGTGTTGCTACAAGTCTGAGCACTAGACTTCTCCAGCTTCTTCCAAGTCACCAATAAATCTCTGGAACAGATTGGGGCCAAGGAAAAGAGCCCTTGGCTTTGTCATTCCAGATACCTGCCCAGGCAACCTGATCCACTGCACCCTTAAGAGACCGACACATAATCAAGTCATGAGCTTCCCAACCAGATCTCTCTGCAGTCCACATTTCTCCTGCTAGCTGGCCTTGGCTGGACACTCCCAAGTTTCCCACACATAGACTTGGAGTGGTGTCCCTGAGCAGCCTTAGGCTGGTGAGGCAATTGGGGTCAGGGCTGTGTGGGGTTTGCACTTGTATGCCCAACACCCGGCATGGTGCCTGGTAGTCAGTGGGTACCCAGTGAAGGCTTGTTGAATGTAAGAATGGGTGACTTGTTATTAGTGAACCTTTTTTGGCCCCTCCTGATTACTTCTTCCTTTCCTCCCCAACAGGGAATTTACCAGTGAGTCCCTGACCCTCGGCCCTTTTTGCATTTTATTTATTGCCATGCTCTTGATTAGTGCCCATAAGGACAAATAACACCCAGTTTATATTCAATCTAAAGCTTTCTCCTGGTCTGCAGATCCTCATCCATGCACTTTCCCTATCCCCCTAACCTCTTCAACCCTCCCTTTATCCATCCCAAAAATATATTGACTTCCTCCCTTAGTAGGCTCAGGGTAACCAATCAGAAATTGTCCCTGCATCAATGGTGCAAACAGACATCAAATGCATAATTACACAAAAACCTTAGTTAGAAATGCAATAAAGCAGAAGCCCTGGGTATTATGAGAATAAACCAAGCGAGACCTGATCTGGCTTGGGATGTAGGTATGTGTGAGTGTATCAGGGAATGCTTCCTGGAGGAAGTGACATTTAAGCTGAGAAATTCATTGTCATATGAGCCAAGGAACGAGCATGTCTCAAGAGGAGTGCTGCTGATTTGACTTCAAGGAGGGGTGATCTGGGCAGGAGCCAGACTGGATAGGGTGGAGGAGTGAGTGAAAGATGAGGAAGTAAAAGGCAGCCAAGTGCAGAGAACTGGAGAAGCTTGGCTGGGACAGGGAAGAAAGAAGTAGGAGTAGTAGCTGTGGAGGGTATAGGTCTGAGAGAGTCCTTTTTTTTTTCTTTTCCTAAGAGAGGAGAGACTTAAGCATGTTAAATGCTGCTAGGAAAGAGCCAGCAGGGATATAGAGGGGACAAGCGAAGTTGGAATGGAGGGTCCAACCTGCTGGAATTCCTTTATTAAATATAACTGAGTACCTTCCGTGTGCCAGGGACTTTGAAAAGGCTGACAGGGTCTTTGCTTTTAAGGAACTTATTTTCTAGGGAGGGAGGCAGGATATGAGTTAACAAGATTATGTCAGCTAAAAATAAAAAATAAAAAAATGAGATAGAACAATACAAGTGAACAGATAATATACAAACAAATGAACGGGGGAGAAAAAAAAACAAGATCATGTCAGCTAATGATAAGGTGTTGAAGAGATAAAGTGGGGCGATGTGGTAATGGAGGGTGCAACCCAAGGAGAGGCAGGGGTGCTTCGGGGTGTGGTTGGGGGGCCCAGTGGCCCCAGGGAGCTGAGGACACCAGGGTGGAGCCAGCGTTCAGCGGGGGTGGAGCGGGGCTGGAGCGGGGCTGGGAGAAAATGGTCAGAAAAGAGGCGCAGGACAGAGGGCGAGCTGCAGAGGCACCTTGCAAATGGGAGTCAGAGTGCTCAAGGGTCGACGACCTCAGGGTTACCCCTCAGGTTGTGGCCAAAAGTCAACTGTCATCATCACATCCGTTCTGAGCAACCCTCGGGTGCTCAGACTCAGCATAATCAGCCACAGACTCAGCTCCTTCCCTCCCAAACCTGCTGCTTCTCCTCACTTCCCGTCTGGAGGACAGAGTCAGCATCTCCTGGTCCAGTGACTGGCCTCAAGACTGACAGCTCCTCTCACCCCTGAGACAGAGACTGGGGGACCGCAGCATCCGAGAAGACTGGGAGGGTTCCCACAACATGTCCTCTCTGTTCTGCTGCTTCTGACCTCCCATGTTTTTCCTGCCCTCGCTCCAGGAGGTTGCTCCTCCTCCCGCCTCACCCCTGCTCACAGACTCCTCGTCTCCACCAGAAGGGAGGCTGGAACCCCGATCCCAAGCATGGCCTTGCTCTGGGAGTCCGGGGAGGAAAGGCAGCTGGGATGGCAGGGTTGGGGTGAGGGCTGTGCTGCCTGCCTCCACTCTCAATGCATGCAACATTTCCCCTGGGGTGGATGGACGAGGGATGGACCTCAAAAGCCCTGCCTGCTCCCCCAGGTGTCCCTTTCTGTCCGCTCTGCCTGGGCCCCAAATACCTCCTCAGAACTTTCATCCTGGGCAAACACAGGCTGTTCAGTCTACCTCCATGTGTCTGCTTATGTGGAACAAAGGGGGTTGGCAGTTATCCTAAAAAGCAACAAGAAACCATAGGGGCAGCCCCATTGGGATCTCTTGAGGGCCAGACTAAGGAGCTGGTGCGGTGTCTGTGGAGTGGGACAGATGGGAGACGGATGTGATGGAGGTGAGGCAAGAGCCTCGCCACCTGTTCAGCTGCAGGCTTGGGCCCCTCTTCAGGCTCTGCCAGAGCCTCTTTCTCTGTGTGGCTTGAGGGACAGGGGTCTTTGTCCCCAGGATATCCAGGTAGGTGTAAGAATTACCTGGAAGGGGTTGGGCTGTGCCTTACTCAGGGCCGTGGCCCCGCCCCTGTGGGGCCCCAGGTATGGGTGGGTGCTGTGGCACTGCAGCTGACAGATAAGAAGGAGGTGCATCCACACAAGTCACACAATGCCTGGAGTGGCCTGGTTGTCTTACTCCCCCGTGATGCTACTCTTGCTGGCCCTGCTGGGGGCTGCCCTGCTGGGGGCTGCACTGCTGGGGGCTGCCCTGCTCTCCTGGAAGCGTGCCCCAGCCCGGAATAAGATCCCTAGGGCACAGAAGCATAGAGAGATGGCGCTGAAGCAGATGGAGGCCCTGGCCCAGCGTCTCCGGCAGCAGGTGAGTGGACATGGGTCCCTGAGGCCCCCAGCCCCAAGGGCCTCAGCCCTCAATCCCAACAGGTGGACCCCCCTCAGGACGGGGCCCCTCCCATGGCCCCATCCCTTTCAGAAGACAAAGAGCCTGGGTGGGCAGTCCCTACCTCCTGATCTCCCCATCACTGTCACCTTCTCCTCCATCCATATTCTTTGAGCTCCTGGAGGTCAGGAGCAGTGTGTTTTCTGTGTTCCCCCAGCACTCAGCACATGGCTCAGTAACATGATGGGTGCTCACTTGGGGTATTTGTTGAAATAAAATAAACCGATGAAGGCCATTGGAGGCAGGAGGCCAGGCCTCTCTTTCAGGCCCTGAGCACCCCCAAAACCTACTGAGACAGGAACCCTAGTCTACACATCCCGCCCCACTCAGTTCTGAAAACATTTGCTGAGTACCTGAAAGGTGCAAAGCACAGGGGGCTGGAGTGGGCCTCCTAGAAAGCTGTATGTCTTAAAAGGTGGCTTCTATAGTTTGAGGGGGGGTATTTCAAGGCATTGAGACAGTCATTGTGGCTGGCTGGGCTGGCGTTAGCAGGTGAAGTGGCTGAGCCATGGGTGTATCAGCAAAGCCTTTCTAGGGTGGTGGAGAGAAGGGTGGGAAGGAAACTGAGCCTGGGTTTGCTGTGTGGCCTGAAGGATGTGACAGCTCCTCTCTGGGCCTTGGGCTCCCCAACTGCCCGAGGAGGGGTGGGCTCATGGTATCCTGGAGTCGCTAGCTTTGGTTGATGTGGTGTACTCCCAGGGGTTGGGGATAGTGCCTGAGGTGCTGTCCCTGTGCTCTGGAGTTCCTGAGTGTCCTCTGACGTCCTCTGGATAGTGATTGATGGCCCCAATGGGTGGCTTCTCTGCCTGAGCTGCTGCAGTTGCTGAGAAAGTGTATTAATATTAATTGGGGCTAATTAGTTGGATAAATCAACCCACCCCCAGAGAGCAGCTGCCCCTCCCTGGTTGATGAGCGGGAAGTCTGGGATGAGGGGGTTGCTGCAGCGAATCAGCATGATGAAGAGGACTCCTGTGTGCGTGCGGAGGCCCCAGCTGTGTGCCGTGGTGGCTGTAGGGTCCTTCGCTGCAGACAAGTGAGGGCCCGCTTGTGTGTGCCTCCTGCTGGCGTTTCATTGTGTTGGGGTTGGGTGTGTGCCTGGCCATGTCGTTATGTGCTCATGGTGTCTGTGTGCCTGGGTGGGTGTATGTGTTGTGGTACTAGTTGGAGTCCGTACATCTAAATCTGTGTGGCTAGTGTGTGTCTGGATGTTTGGTCTAGTGTGTACATATATGGTTATATATCTGATGTGTGGGGACAGCTGGTTTTGTGTGTTTCTGTGCATCTGGTTGGTGTACACAAGGACGACTGAGGTGTGCAGCTATTGGCCTGGGTACTTGGTGGGGGCGAGGGCGTCTGATTGGCTGCAGAAGTGGGAAGGTTGGGGCGAGGTCACCCATGGTGTCTCCAGCCTCTCTTCATGGCTGCAGGCTTCATGGCTCTTAGTACCAAAGATATATAACAAAGCTATAGAAGTCTGTCCTGGGCACCTTCCCAGTCATGTCACCCTCAAGACCTCGGGTGGCCAACTTTATGTGCCAGGGGAGGTAGAAGGCTGAGACATAGGTCAAACCCTTGCAGGGTTCAGCCAAACAAATCCAATTCAGTTCAGTTTAGTTTAGCAAAATCTAACAGGGGGCTCCTCTGGGTCTTGCCTTGTGCTGGACCCTGAGGACAGATTCACCCTAAAGGTGAATCTACATCTGACCCAGACTTGTCTTCAAGATGTTCCCAACCTGGGTGGGGTTTGGTGGAAACAGAGCTGTGCCAGCCATGATGGGAGGCAGCTCAGCTGAGTTTGGCGCAGTCCAGATAACCATGGAACTGTGGGACTTGGCAGGGGGTGCTGACGTGTCCTGTCCGGTGAGGGTTGTGCAGGGAAGGCTTCAGAGGCAGCGTTTGAGCCAAGCCTTGCAGGATGTGTAGGGGTTTTCCAAAAGGAGGAAGGAATGAGAAAGGCAGTACCAGGGAGGGAAAAGTCTGAGATAAGGCGGTGTTTCTGTAGAACACATAGAAAATAAAATTCCTAGGGCCCACTGCGGTAAACGAACAAACTGCTCATGTCTGGAGACTGCTGGCCAGGAGGCTCTGCTAACCTTTGGTCCAGGTGGAACATGGACACCCTGAGGGTTGTGGGTTGATATAATATTAATTGTATTTAACAATCATTCTGGAAATAGTAATAATAAATCAATTTACTAAAAACTTTGAAATATATTTTCTTTGCTTTTCGTCTATGATGGGAGGCAGCACCAACTAGGTGTGGAGAAGTCCAGGTGTCCACGCAGCTATCGGACTCAGCAGGAGGGGGTGACGTGCTCTAAACTAAACTACCCGTTAAAACATCATAAAAGTGATATAAGTTGAGGCTCAATTTTTTCATCAAATTATTCTAGTAATTTTTGAGTAATTGGTTGATTTTTAGAATTTGTTGTGGGGATCTTTTGATGTGGCTATCATGTTTTGAAGGATGCCCCTATCTTTCAAAGCTCTCCTTATAAATTGGGGAGTCATAAGGCACTTGCAGTCTCATTAAGCAGAGCCCTTCTCTTTAACATTAATTATATTGTTCCTTGGGGTGAGTCCTTTTTCAGCTTTTCCTGATCCAGTTGCAGTTATGCCCATAGATTTCTAGATCTTCTAATATCATCTAAGATTTTATATACTTAAGCATCTCTGGTGTCAACTAAGTCATAAACATTGTTATTAGAATGTCATCATAAATTATGTTGACCCTAATGGCAGTTAGGAATGTGACCTCTGTTGCTGGGCTGCCTGTGTTTGAATTCTGACTCTGACACTTATATTTTGAATAACTTCTCTGTGCTTTAACTTCCTCATCTCTACAATGGGGTGATGATTATAATACTCAAATAAGTTAGTAAATGTTTACAGTGGTGCCTGGTACACAGCAAGCACTATACAAGTGACAGTTCTCACTTTAGTAATAAAGCTAATGTTGTCCATGATGAGTGGGCCTTTTGGGTGATTTTCAAGGCATTTGTTCTGTTGGATGGAAGTGACACTCAACAAGGTTGGTGAAAAGGCTTTGTTGGGCCTGCAGTCTCCTTTGGCATCCCTTGGTCTCCATTGGCATCCCCTGGCCGGCTCTCCACACCACTCCCCAGCTCCCTGAGAGCCAAAGTCCCCCAGAAGCTGCCATTCCCACAAGCGGCCTTGCAAGGAGAACTGCCTGGCAGCCCTAGCCTCAGGAGTCCAGATGGACATACTAGGCACTTGCCCACGGGGGTGCCACCAGGAGTGTCACCTCTCCAGGTAGATATACAGAAATGGGGACTGCCATGCAGCCACCCCCAAAGTCTCCGTGGTGCTGGGATGGTCCCTAGAAGGGCGTATTGGACCTCTTTAGGGCTGGGGGGAGCAGGGCAAGGAATGAGCACAGCCTGGCCCTCCACAGTCCCCGAGGGATTCAAAGACTATGCCTATGGGTCCTTCTGGGCTGGACGTTAACCCTTTACTTGCTGGACTGTGAGGAGAGGGGGCAGTCCCAGAGGAGAGGCTAAGACAGCTGGGGTGGTGGGGATTCCCTAGGGTGGCTTTTTGCAAAGGACTCAGAAGTGTTGCAATATTTCAGCTACTGGTGCATCTGTAGAGGTGCATCCCAGCTGAATGCAGCCGTTTCCAAGGGGTTCCATGGCTGGCCCTCCTGAAAGTCCCTGTGGCCCCCAGGCTGGGGAGCTCTGACAGAAGCATAGCAAGTAGAGGGACTGGGCAGAGTGGCTAGAGCAGCAGGGTGTGGAACGGGGGCCGAAAAAGAGGAGGCTGGTGAGAAGGCAGCGAAAGAGCCTAGTGTGGTGCCGGGCAGCCATGAAGGGCTTCATCAAAAAAGCTCCCAGCCCAAGAGCCATTAGAGGGTAGCAGTTAAGGTGTGGATGACCTGGGTTTAAGACCAGGCTCCCCCACCTTTATGACCTTGGGCAAGAGAGTTAACCTCTCTGTGTCTCAGTTGTCTTCACTAGGGAAATGGAAATGATAAGAGTACTTAGCCAAAGGTTTTTGTGAGGATTTAATGAAACTGTGCAGGTAAAGGGCTTGACACTGTTCCTAGTCACACAGTAAGTACTTAGTCAATGGGAACATATGTGTATTTAAATGTGAACACATGTTATACATTTATAGTGAAAGCTTCGTAAGTCATACTGATGAGAATGGTGTTGCAATGTTATTCTGATGGCACTTGGGACCTCTTGTCAGATTTAGGTTTTATAAGGTCTTACAAGGATTGCCCGGGTTGCAGTAAAGAGGTTGAGCTGGAGAGGTAGAGACTAGAGGCAGGGAGGCCAGTGAGGAGGAGGCCATTGAGCTAATAGAGATAGAGAAGGTCTGCAGCAGGCAGGAGGAGGCTGGGGAGTCAGAGGTGGGAGGTATGAAGCAGGTAGAAGCACCCACAGGTGGTGCATGTGTTAAAAGCATTGTCACTGGAGGCTGACTGCCTGGGTTTGGATCCAGGCTCTGCCCCTGACTAGCTGTGTGGCCTTGGGCAAGAAGAGTTTTCTTCTACTATAAAATGAGAAAATAACACGGCCTACCTCCTAGGGTTGTTGCAAGGAGTAATATGAGTTATTGTATGGGAAATGCTCGGAATGGGGCCTGATGTATATTAAATGTATAACACATCTTACGTGTAATTATATGTTTGCTATTATAACTATTATCAGAACTTGGATGTGAGGGAGGGGACCAGGATGATTCTGAGGTTTGTTGCTTTGATGACATGAGTATTATCAACTGGGAATTTCAAGAAGAACAGGTTTGGCAGAAAAATGATGAGTCCTGGAGCATCTGTGGATATATTGGTAGGTAAACAGGTTGAGGCCTGGCAGGAATGAGGCCCAGATTGGAGAAATACATGTGGCCGCTGAGGTCACCCAGGGAGGGAGGGCAGGTAGGAAGAGAAATGTTAGAGGAACACTAACATTTCGGGAAACTGCGAGGAGCCACCCAAGGGCCCTGAAAGGCTTTTATGCCATCCTGGAGACAGACCAGAGATGTTTTCAGCACTGAGAATGAGCACAGGAGATCTACTGAGCACACGGATGTGTGTGCAGCTGGGTATCCAGTGGAGCAGAGGGTGTTATGGGAAGTGTGTGCGAGTGGGAGTCTTTGATATCTGCCTGTCCCACCTCATATTTGCAGGAGCCAGACCTGGACCCCAAGCCCATCCTGGAGCTGCCCCTGGTACAGCTGGCCCAGAAGCTGCGGGATGAAGAGCTGAGTCTGGAGAGTGTCCTCTGTAGCTACTTAGAACAGGTGGGGGTCAGGAGTCAGGATCCAAGACTGGGGATCTGGGCTGGAGGTAGAGTATATTAGTCTGTTTTGTTGCTTATAACAAAATACACAGAACTGGGTAATTTCAGAAAGAAAACAAAATTTATTGCTTACAGTTTCAGAGGCTGGTAAGTCCAAAGTCCAGTGAACACATCTGGTGAGGGTCTTGTCCTGGTGGTGACTACAGCAACTCAGGGTATCACGTTGCAAAATGGTAGAGCAGACAGAACAAAACTCTTCATGCGCTCTCCTTTTAAAGCCCTCAGAACCACACCCCTGACCACCATTTTTAATCCATTCACTAGGGCATGGTCCTATAATCCAATCACCTCTTCAAGGCCCCACCTTTCAATGACCATAATAGGATTTCCCACCCTTAACAGTTACAGTAGAGATTAAGCCTCAGTGAGGTTGAGGGGGCATCCAATCTACAGCAGGGAGTGTCACCTGTCATGGGTCTACTTAGAGGAGCTGGGGGACAGGTGTAACTCTGAGGTGCTGTGACTAGCTTGGGAGGGGGTGCATGTCAAAGTCACCTGTCACTTCTATTCTGCTCTGAGTCAGTGGTAGGAGGGGCTGGGGCAACAGAATACTCTGGCCCTGGCCCTGGCCTCACCCTGGCCCCTTGTCTGGTTCAATGTTGCTCAGGCGCTGAAGGTGCACCAGGAGGTGAACTGCCTGACGGATTTCCTGGGGGAATGTGAGGAACAACTGCAGGCTTTGAAGAAGCTTAAAAAGAGCGAGAGAGGCCTTCTCTATGGGATCCCCATAAGCCTCAAGGACCCCTTTGACTGCATGGTGAGCCCCAGGGTGTACAAGGACATGTGTACATGGATGTGTGTGTGCACACAAGTACTGCTGAGCCTGTGAGCAGTAGCTGAATCAGAGATGCACAGCTAGAAAGTGGCAGACTGGCATTTGATCCCAGCAGTCTGGCTCCAAACCCCATGCTCTTCTGCCACCTGTGAGTCTTTAGAGCGCAGTGCTTATCCCTGCGGGAGTGAGAATACTGCAGGCAGATGGGAAAGAGACTCTGCCAGCTGAGTGATTCCACCCTGACCTCCACAGGCCAGGGGCAACTAACATCTTTTCTCTGCAGGGCCATGACTCCACGTGTGGCATAGCCCAGTTCCTGGAGAAGCCTGCAACCAAGGATGGGGTCATCGTGAAAGTGTTCAAGGCCCAAGGAGCTATTCCCTTTGTTAAGACCAACATCCCACAGACACTGCTCAGGTCTCTGAAGCGGGCTGGCTGGGGTTGGGGCTGGGCTGAGTCCAGGGCTGAAATAGCTCTTGAAAGTCAAGACAGAGGGTGAGGTGTGGGACAGTGATGCAGATTTCAAGGACCAGGGTTCTTGGACAAGTGCTTTCTGCTGTCTAGGTCTGGGTTTCCCCATCTTATAGTGTGTGGATGGACTCCATGGTCTCTAAGCGCCCTTCAGATTCTGAGGTTCTGTAAAGTTACTTCTCTGTTTCTATCCCAGCTTCTCTCTTTAATTGTTCTTCTCATCCCTTACCTCGCTCCTCTCTATTCAGCCTTTAGTGTATCTATTTTTGGTGAGGAACCTTTTCTCAATTCTGACAGCAGAGCTTGGTCCTTAGTTTAGGAGTCGTGGTTGGCACCTCATCTTGGTCTTTTCTGCAGCAGCAGCAGCAGCCCCTCACCCCGGCCAGAAGGAAGACCAAGAGGTCTCAGCCTTAGGGAGGATCTCATGGAGCCAAAGAAGCCCTGGGATTGACTCCGAGGGTGGTAGGCCTCTACCTGGGGAGGGAATGATCTACCTTAGGTCAGCTTTTGCTTCTCAACTCCTTTTCTTCTGCTTCCTTTAGCTGGGATTGCAGCAACCCTATCTATGGCCAGACCCTGAACCCTTTGAATTTAAAGAAGACATCTGGAGGCTCCTCAGGGGGTGAGGGAGCTCTGCTGGCAGAAAGGGGTTCCATCCTGGGCATGGGCACAGACACAGGTGGCAGCATCCGCATACCAGCCAGCTTTTGTGGTGTCTATGGCCTTCGGACCACGGGATACCGCCTCAGGTACTCATTGATGGTGGTGGTGGGGTAGGCTCAGCCGTGCCCAAAGCAACTAGGGGCTGGGGGAGTAGAGGAGCCTATTCTACCTGTGAGTTTTCATCCACCAGCTCAGTACTAGGGGAAGCGAGTGAAGGTAGGAGTGCTTCAAATAATCCCTGCCCTAGCCACAGCTAAACATACCATGTTTTATGCAGTGAAATAGACTTTCCACTCACTCATTTAATTCATCAGGTCATTAATTCATTAATCTACACAGCTATCCATCTACCTTCTCATTCGTTAATTCATCCATTTATCCATCTGTCCATTCTTCATTCATTCAACCACCCATGCAGTCATCATCTCAGTCTCTATCAATCAATTTCACTATTCATCTACTAATTAATTTATTTAGCAAATTTTTATTGAGTGTTTACTCTGTGCCAGACACTGTACTAGCTACTTGGGATACATCAGTGAACAAAACAGACAAATATTCCAGCCTTTGAAAAACTTACATACATTCTTCATTCATTCATTCATCCATCCATCCATCTATCCATCTTCCCATCTACCTACTCATCTATCCATCCATCAATCCACATTTGTATCCATCCGCCTGTCCACCATATATCCATTCATATTTCTATTAATTTTTCTATCCATCTGTGCATCCATGCATGAATGCATCTATCCATTCATCTTTCAACCCTACTCTGAGCACCCAGTCTGTGGCACCTGTACTGGGGACACAGAGCACTCTCAGACCCAGCCTCCGTCCCTGTTGTGCTCTTAGACGCCAAAATGGTTTAGTCAGAAAGTGATCAGGGCTCTATGGAAGGGTCAAAGCTTGTGGGAACTCACAAAGTGAAGCTGACATTTTCTTCAACAGAGATTTATTAAAAGCCTACACTTTAGACTTTCAGAGGCAGGGAAAGGAAAGGGAAGGATTCCTGGAAGAGGCAGCATTTGACCTTGGACGTGCAGAGATGGTGTGGAGTCTAGAAGTCTGCAAGGCTGTGGGCAGCTTACTTTGCCCAAAGCAACATGCATGTGTAGAAGGGATAAAAGTAGAAGCTATGGAGAGTTGATCCTTTAGAACTTCGAAGGGCAGTCAAAGAGATCAGACTTTATGCTGAGGGCAGCAGAGAGTCATGGAAAGGTTGAAGCAGCTTCTATTTCTGCATGCTGGGGCCTGGAGGAGCACACTGGCTGGGTGCTCAAGCCTCTTGGCACCCATACCCTCCCTTCAGATGCTGAGCTGGGCTCTGGGTGGGTGGGGTTTTGCAGTTACTCTGGAGTCGCCACTGCCATCAAGGGGAAGAAATCAGGTAAGCCCCTGTCTGTGCCTGTGGCCACACCCATTCAGAGACACACCTGCCAGCCTTTCTCCCAAGGATTTTTCACTTAGCTCGTGTCTCCAGACAGATCAGTCCCACAGGTGATGAAGGTATCTCAGAGAGGGGACTGCATAGCTCCCAGCTGGCCTCCCCAGCCCAGTGACTCTGCTCTATTGAGAAGGGCTTCCTGCTATCTGGCTTTAATCTCTCCAACTGGTATCTTGATGCTCTGCCCCAGAGACTTTCCCATCAGGCACTGAAGTTGCTGTGGCCGGTCTACCAGTCCCATCTGTCTTCAGCCCGTGACCCAGGACGGGAGTGGGCCTTCTTCCTTTGGCCCTGATCGTGGCCTGAGCCCCATTCTCTGAGCCAGGCAGTAGGAATCCCCAGAGCAGAAAGAATGAGAAGTGTGTGCCTCCCTCCCCTCCTCTCTGTGTAGTAACGACAGTGGCTGGTCCCCTGGCCAGGGACGTGGAGAGTCTGGCTTTGTGCCTGCGAGCCCTGCTGAGTGAAGACATGCACTGGCTGGACCCCACTGTGCCCCCCATACCCTTCAGGGAAGAGGTGAGTCAGATTGGGGAGCAGCCCTGGGAGGCTCCTTCCCTCCCCTCCCATCATTCCTCACTGACCATCCCCTGTGAAGACCTCCTCTCCCACCCCCGGGTGCAGTCAGCAAGAAGCCCACATGCTCAGTGCTATTGTTTGCCATCCCTGCTTGGTGCCAGTTGCTATGGCCTTGTGGCTAGCTGGAGCAATAGCTGTAATTGCCCCCAAATAGGGACTTCAACATCATCTACCCAATACAAGCAAGTAGAATACTCAGGGGGTGTGGTTCAGAGAGTCTGGTGTTTAGTTACGCTGGGCTTTTAACCCTCTAGGTAACCCTGGCCAAGTCACAACTCTTCTCTAGGCCTCACCTTCCCCATCAATACAATAAAGAGGTTAGACCAGAAGATTGCTGTAAGCCCTTCCAGCTCTGGCAGATTTCATTTATTCATTAATTCATTCAGCAACATTGGTTGGTACCAACTCTGCAGGGCTCTTTACTTCATTCTAACACTCACTCTGTAGAACGAGCATCACTCTTTCCACTTACAGGTAGGTAAGGAAACTGAGGGGAGGTGAAATGACTTGCCTGTGATCATGTAGCTAGTAACTGGCGGAGCTGGGCTTTGAACCTGGCCCTGTCTGACTCCAGAACCCTCTCCGCAGGGCAGAGTCTCTGTCTATCATTCAGCCAATGTCTGTTCATCAGATTCCCTCCACCCACCCCAGCATTATCATATGTGATCATTGTCATTCAGTTTTTGCCCCTATAGATCTCTCCATCCTCATCCTCTCCTGACAGTTCTTCGGCTTAAAGATATTTGTGTCTATTCATCTTCTTCCTCACCTGCCCACCCACTCAATTCCAACCATCCATTATCCACCTACCCATGTATACATTCAATCCTCTGCCCACCACCCATCTATCATCTCATACCTGCATCCACTCATAAATCTATCTACCCTGTATCTACCTGTCTATTCTATCCACCAAAGCACCCATCTCCCCATCTACTTCTCATTCTTTCAGAGTTTTCCCCAGAGCACCTAGAACCTGGAGAGTATATAGGGAGGCTCCTAGGGGCTCTTGGAGAGTCCCTATGGATTACCCCCTGGGTTAGGACAGCCATGACCCAAGGCCCTGCTCTACAAGTCTGGCTCCTGGAGTGAGGCCTCCTTGTTTCTAGCCCAATCTCCCTTCTGAGCCCCACGCAGCCCCTTGTGTCCCCAGGTGTACTCCAGTAACCGGCCCCTTCGAATCGGCTACTATGAATCAGATGGCTACACCCAGCCATCCCCTAGCATGGCCAGGGCTGTGCAGCTTACCTGCAGGCTACTTCAGGATGCAGGACACCAGGTAGGCTTACCAAGCCTTGGTGGGGAGAGAGGCTAGACCCGTGACAAGATGCTGGGCTGGGCCATCCTTGGAGAGAAAGGAGGCTCTGTCTGAGTTTGGGCTGCTGAGATAATTGTGTTTCTCCTAAGCTTCCTAGAGAAGACTGGTAGGGTGGAGTTGAGGGCAGGTGAGCCCCACTGTGTAAGGAAGGCATCAAGATTTTATAGGGGCTGGCCCGGTGGCGCACTGCTACAGTGCGCCGCTTGGGAGCGCGGCGGCGCTCCCGCTGAGGGTTCGGATCCCACATACAGACCGGTTCCCGCTCACTGGCTGAGCGAGGTGCGGGCGCAACACCGAGGGTTGCGATCCCATTGCCAGTCATGAAAAAAGACAAAAAGGGAAAAAAAAAAAGATTTTATGGCTTACCCCCTCAGTGGTGGAGATTCAGGGACTCATTACTGTAGTTCCGTAAGCCTGGGTCTCTGTGGCCTCCATCAAATGGCTGTAAGGAGCTCTCTGTCTTCTAAATTCCCCCCCCAGTCTCACCTCCACCTCCCCTGTCCCCAGTGGTTTGTTGTGGCCTCACCTCTCCTTTGAGAATTGCTGGTTGAACACACACCTACTATGCGATCTTGTCCCAGTCTCTTAACCCCCCTGAGCCTTAGTTTTCTGCCACATGGGTGGCCATGAAGATTAAATGAGCTCACATATGTAAAGTGCTTGGCATGCTGGCTGTCACATCTGCTTTGTGAGGGTGAGGGGTGGCATGGCTGGAGAGGGGCTGGCCACACAGGCCTCCCGTGCCATGCTCAGGAGGTGAGGTGGCTGGAGATGAACAGGTGATGTGGTATCCCCTGTTTAAATTCTGGGGGATAGAGAGAGAGAACAGGGCAGGCAGGGAGGAGTTCCAGGCCCTGACTTGGCTTCTGTCTCCCCAGGTCATCCCCTTCTCCATCCCCCATATAGAGTACGCCTTCGAACACCTGTACACTGGGGGTCTGTTTGCTGATGGAGGGGCCACCCTTCTGCAGAAGCTGTACGTCTGTTGGGACTTGGGGGTGGGCCTGGAGGAAACAGGGTGATGGAGGGAGCTGGAGCCAACCTAAGCCTTAGGAGGGGTACTGGGGGCTGGGCTGAGATGCCTCTGGCTAACAGTGTGACCATATGCAGCAAGTCACCCACTCAGGCCCCATCCTTAAGATGCACATGTTCCAGGGATGGTGGTGGGGGCAGAAGTATTTCTTGGGGTCTCACCTCCCTCTGTGGCTTGCCTCTGGAGGGGGCGTTGGGTGGGTATGGGGAAAGACCAATGGCTGAAAGCTGTACCTGACAAGATATGTGACTGGTTCCTTAGAGAGGGGGACATTGTGGATCCCAGCATAAAGGGTTTAGTCAACCAGCTCCGCCTGCCAGATCTACTCAAGTGTTTCTTGGCCTGGATCCTGAAGTACACAGTGAGTGTGGGCCCCAAGCGGGAAGGGATTCAGAGGGGCAGTGATCCCAGAGAGGAGAAGGGGCTCAGAAAGGGGAGGGGGCTCACGGAGGGAGTGTGTGTGTGGGGGGGTCAGACAGGAGGATGAGGCCCAGAGAATAGTGGTGGCTCAGAGAGGGGTTCAAAAAGAATATTTCAAAAAGAAATAGAGAAGGGGATGAGGCTAAAGGAAAGGGGTGCTCTCAGAGAGGGGAGGGTGCTCCAGAGAGGAGGCTCAGAGAGGGGGAAGGCATCTCAGAGAAAGGGAAGGGGATTTAGAGAGGGCGCTCAGGGCTCGGTGGAGGGTGGGGGCTTGATGAGGAGTAGAGGGCTCCACTCAGTGTGCTGAGCAGCGTTGCTCTTCCTGGCCTCGGTCCCAGGCAGGCTGGCTGTTTCCCTGTGGTTTCTCAAGATGTCTCCCCTCTCATCCCTCTTCTAGGATCCCCGAGCTGGCCAGAGTTTTGAAGAGGTTCGTGGAGTGGGGTGAGTGAGTCTCTGCAGGTCCAGCTCCTGCCCACAAAGGTTGTCCATGGGGAGGTGGGAATTGAGTGAAGGGCATATGGCTAGAGTTGGCAACATCATGGGGGGAGAGCTATTTAGATTTTGGGATCTAATTAGCATTTTAGGATCATGCCTGACATTAGGGTTAAATTTAGACTTTTGATTGGTGTAGGGATTGGGGCTGGTTTAGGGCTGGGATTTGATTTGAAGTTAAGATCTGAGTTAAAGTTAGAATTAGGGTTAGGTTGAGGTAAAGGATGGGGCTGAAGTTGAAGTGAGGTTTTGGCTGGGGTTGAATTTAAGGAGCTTAAGACAGGCTGGGGTTGGAGTTGGTTTGAATTGGGGTTGGGGTTAAGGTTGGGGGTGAAGATAGATTTGGATTCAGGGATGGGATTAAGATTGGAATTGGGGTGGGGCCAGAGTTAGGGTTAGAGATGAGGATGGGAAAGGATTGTGGATTGGGTTTGGGTTTGCTGTTGGGCTTGGCCTGGTGGGGGTTAGAGTTGAGGTGCTGGTTGGAATTGAGTTGGAGTGGTCTGAGGACAAACCGGGTGCCTCACAGGCTAGGGAAAAGAGCCTGTGACTTTTGGAGAAGCCCATTAGTTCCCATGCCTGGTGCAGTGGGGGTTGACCAGAGGATGTACGCTCTTGAGAATCCTGGGCAGACAAGGTGTCTGGGCCAGATGACAAGACATAGGGCCATTCCCAGCCCATCAGCTGATTTGCAGCCTGCATTGAGGCCAGACCCTGCCTCTTGGATGTCATGTGTAAAAGGAGACCCTTCCATGCTGACTTTTGAACTTCTCAGAGTCTTCTTCATTCCCCCAGGACACCCAAGAGACTATGGGAGCAGCAGGCAGCTGTGGAGGTGATGCGTGCCTGGGAAGACCTCAAGGGGCTGCTGGAACTGGGGCAGCAGAGACCTGGGTGGTGATCTAAGTGGCCAGAAGGGGGCAGAGCTCTGGTCTGGCTTGCAGAGGAGGCCCAGCTGGACCTGGATGGGGAGGCTTGGTGACCTAAGAAGTTAATCTAGTCCATCTCCCTGAAGCTAGGGTTATAATATTGTCTCAAAATCATTGTAACCTGAGATTCCCCTTCCCATCCCTTCGCCTTGGCCCATGGGAAAACCTGATCCTCCCCACGTATCTCATTCTGAAGCTCATAGCCTGAAAATTCTTCCTGGTGTCTAACCCAACAATGCCTGGCAGCACCTGTCCTTGTCTGGCAAACAATGACTACTGGTGGTCCTACCCCTTTCAACCCTTACTGTCCCTGCAGGAATATCAGCAAGAATTCATAGCCAAGTGGAGGTCCCTGGACCTGGATGTGCTGCTGGCGCCATCTCTGGACCCTGCTTTCTGTATAGGCTATCCTGCCTTGGCACCAGGTGAGAGGGATTGGGTCCTGGTGGGGTCCTTCCACAGCCTCTGTGATCTTGGCCTCTATCTCCATCTACTTTTTATTTTTTATTTTTTATTTATTTATTTATTTTAAAAAGATGACCGGTAAGGGGATCTTAACCCTTGACTTGGTGTTGTCAGCACCACGCTCACCCAGTGAGCGAACCGGCCATCCCTATATGAGATCTGAACCCGGGGCCTTGGTGTTATCAGCACCGCACTCTCCCGAGTGAGCCACGGGCCGGCCCATCCATCTACTTTTTAAAAAGTTTCTTAAATTGGGATAAAAGCCAGATACCATAAGTTTACTGTTTTAAAGTATGCATTTCAGTGGTTTTTAGTATTTCAGAATGTCATGCAACTACTACCAGAACATTTCCATTACCCCCAAAAGAAACCTTGTACCTGTTAGCAGTCACTCCCAATTTCCATTCACTTTTAAAATGAACTTTATTGAAATATGGTTTCATGCAATAAAATTTACTGATTTTAAGTAATTTGATGAATTTTGACAAATGTACACAGTTGTACAACCACCACAATAATCAAAATATAGAATATATTTTAAGAACTTATAGAATATATATTTCCACGCCCCCAAATTTCCTTCATGTCCCTTTGCAGTTCACTCTACCCCTGCCTCTACCAACTGCTGATCTGCTTTCTATCACTATAGTTTTGCCTTTTCTGGAATTTCATATACATGGAATCAAAAGGCATGAGGCTTTTGTGTTTGGCTTCTTTCACTTAGCATATCCATTTACTCTTAACATGCTGTCTGCTGCCCCCACTTCAAAAGGTGTCTCCAGCCCAGCCCACCTGAAATGCAGGCTCAGGACAGGGCAAAGTCCAGGGCATCCCTGGGTCCCATGCACAGGTCCTGGCCTTGGGGGTGCTGCTCAATGCAGGATGAAACCCAGTTCCAACCCCAAGCCTGGACTCCTCTCACCTGACAGCTCTCCTTTCAAACATGTCCTCCTAGGTCCCCCCACAGTAGTGGGCCAAAGGCACATCCCACACCTGGCTCTCCCTGCACACAGGCAACTGCTGCACAGGAGCTCTGTCTTCAACTCAGGGTTGCACTGCACACCCTCGTCATCTTGGGGTTCGGTACACAAGAGGGCATGGGCTGAGTCCTCCGCCACCCACTAGCTGTGTAGCCTTGGAAAAGCCACCTCATGGGTCTGCCCCATTGATTTCCTAATTTATACACAGGGAATAGTAATTCCTTCCTCACAGGTGTGGAGAGGATTTGAGGAACCAGCAATGTAGAGAGGCCAGCACAGGGCTTGGCACTGAGTAAGGCTTGCACAGTGCCGACTCTCCCCTCCTCCCCACCTTGGGGAGAGCGTGAGGCCCTTGTCGGGACGCCTTCTGGCACCCAACCAGCTAGTCCGAGCCCAGAGGGAGGCAGTTCCGAGAAGGACCGGGAGGGCGCGCCCGCCCACATTCTTCCCCACCTAAGTCTTCTCGGCGCTGATGATTTCCTGGGCTTATCTGGATCTTCCTGCAGAAAGTGCCTCCTACATGGGCCTGTACAACCTCCTGAACTTCCCCGTGGGCGTAGTGCCCGTCACCACCGTGACCCTCCAGGATGAGGAGGAACTGGCCTTCTACAAGGGATACTATGGAGATAGTTCTGACAAAAATTTCAAGGAGGTCAGTTTCTTTTTCCATGCCTCTCCCCCAGGGGCACAAACCTTGATTCGATTGGGCTGGGACCTGTGGGGTGACAGTGGTGGTGAGGGTGGGGTGGGGCCGGTCATTCCTAGCGTTTATCCTTTATCACTTCAGCTGCAGCTTCACCCATACACCATTTGACCAGCCCCGTCTTTGTCAGGGGAGAAAACTTTGCAAAACCAGTGGTCTTCTTGGCACTTCTGTAGGGAAAGTGGATTCCAGAGGCAGGGAGGGAGGAGGAGGGCAAAAGCCTCTGCTTAGGAGCTTACCATGTGTACCTGGATTGGACATCAGGGCCTCAGCTTCTTCATCATGAAAATGGGAATAAAAACATTTACCTTGCGTGGTTGAGCTAAAGGTTAATTAAATTGAAAAAGAGAGTAAAGCGGTTAGCATAGGCCTTGTGTGCAGGAAGTGTTCAATATATGCTATTACTAATTCAGAGGTGGTGTTATAAAAGAGAATATTACCATGAGCCTATTTAGCTGCAGGGTCTAAAATTACATCCACAACTTTGGTGAGAGAGAGAGAGAGAGAGGTAGAGAGAAAGAGACTGACTCTGAAAAGTATGCATGTATCTGAGTCAGATATTAAGTGACTTACTTTTTCTGGAAATTGATTTTAGTGCTAGAGTTACCCAGTGGAACTGCTGACCTGAATTCTGAAAAAATAACAATAATGATACTATCTCATGTGTTTTGAGCTCTTACTCTGTTCCAGAAGCTGTCTAAAAGTGCTGTATATACATTAAATCATTAAGTCCCCTAACTGTCCTGTGAGGTTTTACAGTTGAAGGAGAGGGACAGACAGATTAAGGGACTGGACTAAAGCCACACAACCAGTTGAAATGGAGGAGCCAGGACTTGAAGCCAGGTGATCTGGCTTCAGACACAAAGGCAAATAAGGGCTTATATGATATCATCATCATAAAGCAATGAAAACATGTTTGAATTCCTACAAGTATGTTTGCATTTCATGACAGGGACTTGGGCTCAGCCTCCATTTTCCCAGGCCTGTGTTTGGGGTCAAGGCAACACTTTCACTACAGAAGTGTAACCAGGCTCTGGATCAGGGATTTGTACATTCTTTTTCCCTTGCTGTGAACATTGGGTGGTTGCTTGGTTTTATATTTCTTCATTATAGTCAGCATTCTGATTCTGCATCTTAACCCTAGAGAACTATAGACAAATAAAACTAGAACAGTCTTTTCAGGTTTCACTGAGAGCTGAGGAAGCCTGGAACTCTGAGATCCAGGACATCTTTACCTTAGTATAGATTGCAGATGAAACATGTGGACTAAGGCATAACTTAGGCCAGCTCTTGGTACATAGGCCCTTGGTACATGGGTGGTGAGGAGGGCTGGGCAAGGATCCTGTGAGCCAGAAGCAGGCTCTGAGTTCCCAGATCCTCTTTCCCCGCAGGGGGCGAGAGGGTCTGTGGGACTGCCAGTGGCTGTGCAGTGCATCGCTTTGCCATGGGAAGAGGAGCTGTGTCTCCGATTGATGAAGGAGGTGGATACATTGGTCAAGAACCAGAAGGCACCCAACTGACAGGCCTCTTCTTCTCCTGGAGGGCTTTCTAGACCCTCACCCAGGTCTGGCCCTGGTGCCTCTTCCTTCTCATAAATACCATGTCTGCCTCATGTCTCATCCTGTAGGGACCCCAGTGTTCCTATCATTTGTGGCCCCCCTGTGTAAGTGCTCAATACATGGACTCCCCAGATCGGCCTAAGATGGGGAGCAGGGGAAGGGGCTCAATAAACATTTTCTGGCTGGCCAGTCTTGTGATCTCTGGTCTGGGTGGGGCTGTGTCTCCTGGTGGCCTTCCTCCTCCAGTTGCTCTCCTCCAGTTCAGTCACCCATATGCTACCCCAGACTGCAGCAAAGGGGAAAGAACCCCAAACTGAGAGGCTGATGACTTGGGTCCAAGTCCTGGCTCTGTCACTGGCTTGCTGTGTGATGCTGGGAAGTCACCTCCCCTCTCTGGACCTCAGTTTTCCCATCTGCAAATTGAGGGGGTTAGATTTGATAAGGTCCATGGTACCTGCCACTGGACTTTCTGTGAGCTGCAATTCTAGATACTGCTTTGATCGAGAACTTCCCATGGCTCCCACTGATGTTTGGAGAAAGTTCCAGAGAGCAAGGCCAAGAGAGTGTAACCCAGAGAAGACCCCTGGCTCACAGTCCAGTCATTTCCCCACAGAGTGCTAGTTCCTTGGCCTGACATTCAGCACTTCCCAGGATCCTCCATAGCCTCCTCTGCCATGGCTTTGCCATAGTACTGCTTTCCTCTGTTCCCTCAATCTGGAGTCTTCTTGTTAGCACGAGTGTGCCTCTTCTTACACTTCTGCTTCTGTGCCTCTGTTCATACTGTTCCCTCCACCCGAATACCTTTGCTGTCCTTCAAGCCCTGTGTCAAATGCCACGTCCTCCAGGAAGCCTTCCTTGATCCCTCCAACCCCCTTCCGCCATCTTCCCTTCATCTGAACTCTCTTGAGATCTTGCCCCTATTGGAACTTCCCCTTCTATCCCATTCCTCGTTGTGGCCCTACTTCCAGTCACCTAGGCAAACTAGTGAACTCACTGCTCCCTGTGCTTGATAGCACAGACCTTCTGGAGATAATATCTCAATGCAAAGGAATGGAATCCCTCCCTCCATCTATCCTACATTTGCTGAGTACCTCCTCTGAACACAAATGGTAAAATTTCAGGCAGAAAAAGGCCTGAGTTAAAAGAATTTCGCTAAGACAAAGATCCCAGGAGTTCCACCAGAGGGATCTGTGGCCCTGACTGCCTACCACAGAAGGAACCATTTGGGGTGTCCAGGTGAGACTGGATAGGGCTATTGATGACCTTAGTGTGGCTTCCCCCTCTCTCCAACTCTACCACAGAGTCTGAGACCTCTGCTGGAGAAGGAGCCTCATGTTTCCCTTCAGACAGGTTAATAGGGCTGGTGCCCTGTCCTCCCTCCCCAATAAAATGGAGGTGTAAGGGGCTCTTCTGTCCCTGCATCCCACTGCGGCCTTCGACAGCCTGGGCACCAGGGGGCAGCATTGAGCTTCACACAGCCCAGGTAACCCTTGCCTCCGCCCTCAGACCCACTGTCACCTGTACTTCACAGTCAGATCCTCTGTCCAAACTTCACTGTGCAGATGAGAAAACTAGAGGATGGAGGGACAGAAATAGGGGGATGCAGGAATAAGCCAGGTGCTTTGGGTTAAATATTTGCAGATTTTAAGATAGACGATTCTAGTTTTGGATGAAATTAGCCTGGGGAAAGGGGATGGCAGATGCCAGCTCAAGGGGCTGAGTAAATGGGAAGCCCTGTCCTGGGGGCAGACTTCCCTTCAGGCTGGGCTTTCTCTAGTATCTCTTGAGTTGATGTTTGGGGTCAGCAACCTCCTTCCTCCCCAACCCCAGCTCCAGCTCCAGTGATGATCCCTAACCTCTGACTCTTGACCCACTACCTGCCAGCACCATCTTCATCTGAACTCACTCCCTGGTCTGTGTGACTGTGGACAGGTCATTTGCTTTCTCAGAGCTCCTCCCTGCGGGGCCTCTCTGAGGTTCATGTGTTGGGTGCACATGGAACCTCCTGGGACAGGGCATCATCTCCTCCTCCCCTTCTCACTCCCATTATTTCCACCACGGATGGCTTGACCTGGACACATACATGTCCAGGTCCTGGCTCTGCCTCCTCTGTGACCTTGGGCAAGTATCTCAGCTTTTCTAAGCCTCAGTTTCTTCATCTGTAATATGGGAATAAAGATCACATTTGCCACAGACTCAGGAAGAGAGGGACCCACAGGAGGTGAAGGGGCAGGTGGGAGGGACTTGGGTTCCTTCTCCCCAGCCTGGGAGAGAGGCCAGCTCAGGTCTGGGTGTCTGTGCCCAGATATTCACAAGAAAGAGCCCGCCCCTCATGGGGGTGCCTGTGCGAGCAACAGGGAAGGCCACTTCAACGGAGAAATTTAGCCCAGAAACAGGAAAATTCCCGGGATGAGGGGCGGTTCTACAAAGACTGGGCCTGAGGAAGGAGGGCTTCGGGATTCTGAGCCTCAGTTTCCCCTCTGGCTGCACGAGGAAGGGCCCCCTCGCCCCGCGCCGGCCCGGGGACTGTCCCGGCCTGCCCATCTCACTCAGCGCACTCACATTCCGCCGCCCCGCGCGGTCTCGTGGGGCCGGGCAGACGGATCCGGCCGGGGACGGCCACTCCTCCCGCGACACGGGCGGACAGACGGCCCGGACGGAACCCGGCCCCAGGCGGCCTCCCGCTCGCTCCGCGCCCCGCCCGCCGCGCCTCCCCGGGCGCCCGCATTAGAGCGCATATGCAAGCCATGAATTATCAACTGAAAGGAGTCAATTACCGGCTCTAAAAACGAGTGTCTGCGCCCGGAGCGCCCGGGGCCATCCGCCTATTTACGGAGCGAGTTCCCCCGCCCGGCTGGGGAGGGGCCCCGGGAGGGAGAGAGACGGAGAAACGGAGCCCGAGACCGGGAGGGAGAGAGACCGAGAGGAAGAGCCGGCCAGAGGCGGCAGAGGCAGGGACAGACGGACAGCGGGACAGGAAGAGGAGGCGAGACCTAGCGAGACACGGGGAGAACCAGGCAGGGGCAAGGCGGCTCTGTCCCTCTTCTCCCCAGCGCGGGGCGGGGAGAGGTGGAGTCCTCAGACCTCGGAGGCCCGGTTCCTCCTCCCCTTGAAGTCTGTGTAAAGAGCCAAGCCCTCTGAACTGCTGACCGTGCCACTAGGAAGGAGGCCCCTGGGAGGGGATTTGGGGATAGAGCTGGGGGGCTCCGGCAGGGAGAGAGTGAGCGGGTGGTTTGCAGGGGGGCTGGGCCGTCCTGGCAGGAAACTGGGGCTCAGGCTGCAGCACTGGCCAGTGTGGAGGTGAGGAATGACAAGATGCCGCCAGCCAAAAAAAAAAAATGACAGCGATGAGGGACTGGACAGCATGACCATGAGAAAAGCGAGGAGGGGGTGAGGAACAGGGACAAAGTGAGGATGGAACCTGACGTGAGGATGTCTGTGTGTGTCTCTCTGGCATTGAGAGAGGAATGGTGAAACCGACCCCACGGGCTCAAGAAGTCCTGTCTGCCGCCAGCCCCCACCTCTGCCAGCTGTTCCTGCCTGGTTCCTACTCATTCTTTGATTCTGGGCCTCCCCAGATCTGTGCCTGCCTTAGCCTCCGCACTCGCCCATTCTACTCGATGATTCAGAGCTGATTTGTCCATCAGTGAGCACCATAAGAGCAGGGCCTCGTCCATCGTGCTCAGTATTGGGCCCTGCGGAGACAGCTGCAGACGTATGTGCTGAGTGAGTGAAGGTGTGAGCTGGGCTACAGAGAACATGACCAAGACGGCAGGATGGGCAGGCCCAGAGATGGTTTCCCCATGCAGAGCAAAGGGAGGGCTTCAGTCAACCAGGTGCTGGGGAGAGGCCGTGGTAACCGAGCCCAACACTTGCTGCCAGGACCACGGGGGAGGGGGCGGGGAGGTAGCAGGGGCGAGGAGGGAAGGGGCGAGGGAGAGCTGAGGCCCATCCTGGACACCAGCACGTCACTGTCAGAGCTCCAGACTGTTGCCCTGAGTGCTTCAGGGTCTCTAAAATCCTTGGCTTCTTCTGGAGAGGGTGGGGACAGGGAACCCCCAGAAACTTGGAGGAAAGAGTAGGGCCTATTATACTGGAGCAGGGAGAAGAGTCTGGGCTTGGGGATCAAACAGAGCCTTTCTCTTCTAGCCGTGCGGCCACAGGCAAGCTTCAACTTCTGAGCCTCAGGCTCCTTATCTATACAGTGGAGACATGGATGCTATGCAATTTTCTATGAATGTTCTCACATCAGCACAGCACTTTCCCCAAGAGGGGAAGACCTTGCCTAAGGTAAGAACAAGAAGCTGTCATTTATTGACATTTACACGGTGCCAAGCACTAAGATAGTGGATTATCTCTTTCCTCCTCACAACAGCCTTCTGAGGTTGCTCAGTCACTTTGCAGACAAGGAAACTCAAATAGAGACAGGGACTGGGAAGTGGCAGCATCAAGTTTTGAAGCCAGGTCTGACTCCAGAGGCTCTTTAACTCCTGCACCATGGAGCCTCCTAGACCTGGCCCATGGACCCCTGCCCTTTTCCCCTCAGCCCTTACAGTCTGGCTGAGCCTGGATCCATGTGGGTGGGGTGGAAGGGACACCACACAGTGGGCAGGGGCAGCCCCTGGGGTCCTGTTCTTGCCATGGCTTGGGCCAGGCGTCCTGCCTCATGAGTCTGCAGCCCCACCATGCCATTAGTAGGCAGCCAGAGGGGGTGTCTGCAAGCGCCAATGCTGGGGTTCCCGCAGCCGCTCGCCTATTAGTGGCTGGTGGCTTCAGGGTGATTTATTGGGGCTTCTTCATTTCCCCTTGGTCCGCTACAAACATATTTATACCACCAGAGTGACCGATAAATTTCCCTTATGAATCCTGTTATCTCCCCTATTAACCATCCGTCACCTTTTATGCGGCCACAATGGGCCAGGCCAGGGCACCAGGGCTGGGTGGGAGGCCTGCGGCCCACAGCCCCTGAGCCCTGTGAACTCTTCACCTCCCCCACTGTTCCCCAGACAGGACAGCTGCGGCTGCCTTGGAGCTGCCTCTAGGATGAGGATATTGGCCTCAAAACAGACTGGACCAGGAGGGGCCTTTGAAATGTGGCTTCCTCCAGGCTCTCAGAACGGGAAGTCCTTCTCAGGGCTGACCTGAGTCTCTCCTACTGTAGCTCTGGCTTCATCTCTTCTAAGTGAGCA